GGAGAACGGGATGGCCCACATAATGAGGCGAACTACAACGAGAGGGCTGGAAACCACATCGGTGTGTTCTTGCCAGGCACATGAACAGTCCTTCGGTCCGCCGACGTCCGAGTCGCATCTTTCAGGCATCTGCTCCCTGCAGCTCTAGCCCTTTGTTTGTAAAGGACAAACAAACAAACAATAAAGGAGAGGGGGAAGCAGCTTCCATCCGTGGAAGCTATCAACGGAATTCATGCTAAGGAACGCCAAGAAAATAAAACCAGTTTCTTATTTTGTTTGGTCTCCCGCAGACAAGGCTTCTGAAAAGACCAGCCACATCCTCTGTTTCTCTCTCTCAGTTGTATTGTCTTTATATTTATTGGGCTTTCAAGGAGAGTTTACATAGCAGATTAAGTTCCCTTGGGAAATGTCCACGCAACTTGCTCAATGGCTGGTTACATTTCTCACAGGGCGCCTCGTTCCGCGTGCTCTGTTGTTCCGGTTTCGGTACTCTAGTTTCCCCTGACCGGATTGTCTTTTGAGGCAGATGAGCTGAAAGTCCAAGATCAAATGTCAACTAGTACCCGAGGTCTACTAAGAATGGCCAACAGTGAGCTAGTGAATCCACCCAAGAATTGTGAAGGGGTGAAAACAAACAGGGTCACGGCAAGGTTAGCCAAAGAGGGGGCCTGTTGTTTAGCTCAGCCACTAGAAAAGGAGCGTCCCATGGTCACCCTTGGAAACACCGAGCCACCTGATGTGATCCTGGGTTAGAATGCTAGGCTAACGCCCAGTTCCCCATCTTTCAGTGCAGGATAGCATGTGACACACCCCCTTTACCTAATTCTAAAGTTGGGATAATAAGAGTCCCTTAATTTCAAAAGCAGAAATGATGTAATAGACATTCAGCACTTAAAACAGTACCTGCCTCGTGGCAGAACCTGCCCCATCAACGTCCGTAATTAATAGGGAACCCGGAGCTCTCTCATAAAAACAAAGGGACAAATCATAGGGGTTACGGCTCTGTGAAGGAATAAAACATCCCAGGTAAATCACCTAGACTCTTCCAAAGCCCCGCCCAAAGGGATCCAAGGCACACGTCGACCATTCCTGGAGAGAAGATTCCATCGCTGCCGTTCTGAAAGTCCCCTGACCAGCTATCCGCAGGACCTTGGACACGTACTCTCGAATGTTGGCAGTGGTGCCTCAGTGGCGTCCTAGAGGTAATTTTTGGAAACAGATAAAAGATGGTTTCAGCTAAGCCTGCTGAGTTAAACAGGTCATCAAGATGAGCAATATTGTCTGCTCCAAAGTGAGTTAGGATTATGACATAATAAAAGCAATGCTCTCTCAGGCTTCCACAGGGCCCTCCCTGTTATTTGCCTCCTGGTGGGCACAAGGGCCTGGGGTTAGAGCACCAGGAGGGAAGCGCATGGTCAGTAGATCGCCAGCGGAAAGAACTAAAGAAAACAATCGAGCCTCTGTTCCAATTTTAAAAGGTTCTACGGGTGAAATCTCACCTTTCAGTCCAGTTGTGAGGATTTGGGCTTTCTTTACATTGAGCTGTAACCCATACTGAAGGTTGCACTCCTTGATCTTCATCAGCAAGGCTTCCAGCCCCTCTCACTTCCAGCAGGCAGGGCTGTGTTGGCTGCACCGCACAGGCTGTTAATAAGCCTGCCTCCGATCGGATGGCCCCAGCATCACGCGCCATGATAAGCGTTTCGAGGATTTCGTCGTGCTTGGCTTCACAACCACTGCTCATGGGAGCAGCAGTCAAGAGCTCCAAAGACACATTGATGGCGTCGGGTAAGCCTGTTGCACAAGACCTCTTGGAAGTGTTTAAAAGCAAGGATGCTCCTGTGAGGAATACGGTGCACCTGACCCACACCTCGGTGTTTTCAATCACCTCAGATAGACATGGAATGAGGAAGACCGTAGAGGAATC